ACTCGTACTTACACCACTATATTACAATCTTTTTAAGTGCGAGAAAACACACATCAGGTACCAACATTATGGAATCTCTGTAATCCACTAAGGGAACTACATATAGACAAGGCCGAGCTCAAGGCCGGTTCTAAGGTCATCAAAAAAAGACCAAAACTGCAGTCGAGGATGAATTCGACCCTCGATCGAGATTAGTAGCATTATTTCCAGCACTGCGGCTGAGCCCAAGGCCAATTTCGGCGTCATGAACTTAAGATCAACGAAGACATACTCACTTATCATTTTGAGCCGAGGTTCCTCATCTCCAAAATAAACACTCATACCCAAGTTGGGTATCTATACACTTAGACTGAACATAGGACCTGAGATGGACATTGTGAACTTAGACATTTCAACACTAAGATCACACACCACTCAAGATTACGCCACCTTGTGACAAGTGTCCTGGGGGATGTCACGCAGTTTGGTTACACCAGACAGCTGCCAGGATTTGCATTCATTTTGGTACGTACACAAAGGACAATAGCAGGTACAACAGTACTAATCGGCCAATCAATTAAATATTCTCTCCTCAATTGAGCCTTATATATGACAACCGATTACCAAATTATTTACTTTTACTTGTTCACCAAGTGTTTTTTTGTACATTGTAAGTATCACCTTCCAACTTGTGGAAAGTGATTACTATTCCGATTTTTTAGCATACTATTACTCTGCCATATTTCTTATTCAGGTCATACTTTACTTATTTTCCAATTCTCCCTCGATTTTGCCATCCCTAGGTCGGTAAAGCCATCACCTATTTTAGTAAATATAATAATTGAAAGATGTAAAAAATTAATCATGATATCCCAACAATCAGATTTTCAGATTTTTTTATATACGCAATATTTGTGTCATATGAAAAAAAAGTTATGAATCTCGATCTTTTTTTAAATCTAAGTACAAATAAAAAAAGTTATAACAAGTTAAAAAAAAGGGATTTTTCTATTCCTCCTCCACGCAACTATGTCCTTATCTCTTTGTTGGGGGTGAAGTGTGAGGAGTACGAGTTGTCAACCGATTTGGTGACTTTGTAATTTTTATTACCCATGATTTCATAAATAATTTTTTATTTAGCATGGTTTTGGGGAAACCCTAAAATATATTTAAATATAACCATTTTATATTTTAGCCGCATTGGCCAGAACTTCATCAAATTTAGTAGATTTAAACAATTAAACTAATTCATTTCAATATTACGATAGGGTTTTTCAAAGAAGGAAGCTAAAATGAAAAAAAAGATGAGCTTTTAAGGCAGTGTTTGCAATGGCTTCTAAGATGCACTTTTTTTGCTTTAAAACACTTAAAATTTGTGTTTGCAAACCCAACCATCTCCTTAAATTTCATCACTTTTAAGTGAAAAATTGAAAATAGGAGTGGACATGATATTATCCGCTTTTTGGTAGTTTTTTAATTAACTACAAGTTGATGGAACATTATGTTCAGAACTTGTTAGTGTGTATCTCATTCATACCCTTCCCTTCATCCGGTGCATCACTCATCACATGAAGTTTCTACCCATCACTAAAGTTCCAATCTTTCATGTTCTCTTCGTGTATTGACACCACTGCTAAGCAAAATCCATAGTCAAATACAGATGAGAAGATGTCGTTTGAAACTGGCCATGTAGCAATTGATTCACGCCAGGTCAAGGTTGGTTTAAAATATTTTCAATTCTTTGATTCATCCACTCGATTGAATTCATTCGTTGTACCTATTTATGAAATCGATTCATGCGTTGTTGATTATATAAGTTGCCCCAATTGGTCTATTTTATCTCTCCAAGATTTGACATTTCCGATCCACAGCCTATGAGATCGTAGAAGCGATGAAGATGACCCTTTTTTGGAACCTAGTGATAAACCATCCTAAGGTGGGGTAAGGATTGGGGAACACCTTACCAAGTATTAGAGAATGAGGGTAAACAAAAAACATGGTAGGGGGACTAGTTCAAAACCTACCAAAAGAAAAAGCTAGATAACATAAGGAAAATCAATTGCTTCAAATTTATGAATATTGATGAATCTAGTGGATTTGACATCAACTCCCATACTAGTTGCTTTGGTAGCGTGGTTGACCTTTTTGTGAACAAGATTGAGGATGATGTGGTTTTGATGCATAATCCTACGAATGCAAGAGATGGTGAAAATTTGATCCCAATGATTAACGCACTGAAGGTTTATGGTTTGTAAAACTTGTGGATTGTTGATTTGAATGTTTGTGTAGGTGATGCCCTAGTCCCTACAAAACATGAGGTATTCATAGTAGATTTCAATGAAAGCCTTCATTTTGGAATTAGAAGAAGATTGCGAGTGTGATGAGAGACCATGTCTCTGTTATGGTTCCGCACAAAAAAGCCAAAATTGTGAGAAAAGCCTTTTTGGGTTTGAGCTATATTAAGGATTCTATTGTTAGCCAAAAGATGGTTCCACGAAACCACTTTATGTCTGCTTCTAAGGGCCTTATTAGGACTCTTGGTATTGTCGAGGAACAAATTTCCTGTCTAATAATGTAAATGGACTCAAAGTAGTTTGGGGAAATATCATCATAAAGGGTGATATTTCTCATCTTTTTAAGATTCCAAAGAATGACAATTTTTATATGACCCTTTTGTTTAGTGCATATATCTTTATAGATGTGGCTTGACATTCCATATATTTTTTGTCATATGTCATTTTTTTCAATGTTGAAAGTGCAACATTAGAGATGCTCAAAAATTTTCGGCAGTTTACACTTATCTGCACTTATGGCTATAGATGGCATAATTAGCGTTTTCTACAACATCATGGGTAACCACCTCAAATCAAATCTTCCCGGTTCCCATTAGGAAGCTCTGAAATAATTGGTTGCTACCACCTTAAATACAAGCTTCGTGAACAACTCTACTTCCTCGGGCGACAACTAGAAAAGCTCTTTGTTTCTTTTTCCAGACTGCAAGGTTTGAGAAGATGTTGGTCACTTAAGGGCTGTCACAATTGATTCCATTTATGAGAAACACTTTGGTATGCTTCTTCTTATACTTAACTTAAATATCCTTTTAATTATATGGTCACTCTAACCAAAGCACTCGAATTTTACAAGGTTGGGGGCATTTGAATTGCTAGGGAAATCATAGACATGGAGGTGGATGAAGGTCAGTTCTACTTAAATGTTAATCCAAATTGAAAAAACAAAGAAGAGATTATCATGAGGTTTGTATAATTGTTAGTTTATACACTCTAGCATATATAAAAATTATATGTTTTTGTTAGTGCCCGGTTATCATAAATGGCTAGATACGAGGTCAACATACGCAAATTATTTACTGTATGGGATAATGCTGGCCAAGAACTCTTTGGATGTGCACATATTCAGGCACATTATTTTAACAAAGGTCAAACTACTTATTCTCACAAAGTTATCATTCTTCAGAATAGGTGTTTTTTTAACAAAGGTCCATCAAATTTTAAACAATTATTCAAAAAAAAAAACGAATTGAGTATGTCTTGATTGATTTAAGGGTAAAAATAAATTTAGTCAAAAACATTCACAAATCAAATAAGAAAACTAGGCAATGAGAACTAAGAAATGAAAGCTACGAATGTTTTGATTTTCAAAATATATAGCTTCAGCTAAGTTATATGTCATACTCCCAATACCTTATGCTTTAGTGAAATAGTACATCTTTAGATCATAAAATATCCCGCATAGTGAATATTAGATTGTCTTTACAAAAAGTCTTCGGGACATAGAGGTTTGAGATATGGATGTTTGTCACATAGGTAGTAAAAAAAATCAACCACTAGAAAAGATTTAAGGAAATACATGACTTGGAAAATATAAATCAACAAAAGTTAACCATGAAAAACTATAAATCATCAAACATTAAGGATGAATAAATCATAAAAAACTTACATATATACACATTAGATTGTATACATGGGAAATAGATTACATTCAAAGGACTAGAAAAAAATCAGTGTTACTGGACTTGCTAGCTGACAGAAATAGGCGTTGACAATGTATGCATGTGAAAGCTTTGTGCCTTCATTGAACAGCTCCAGTACTCACCATTCACAGAAATTAAATGCAGTTGAGTTCCAGAAAAGAAAACAATCCAGGAGAACAAACATCATTCAATTTCAAATTGACGAAATTATTATTCAATAAACAAACAATCTAATAAACTATACAAATAAAATGAGATGAAAAGGGAGAGTAAGGGGGTATAGAACCTTGATGGGAAGACCGCGGTTGTCCGCTGAATATAAGCTTGATCAACACGGAGGCAGAGTATGACCATGGGTTGTGTTGGATTAGTTTTTAAAAAATCTGTATTTTGTCGTGGCTAATTGTATATAGTTATCCATGGCTAACTGTATATATTTTTTTGTGTTACTAAACGTGAAGCGTTAAAGATATTAATAAGCAACACCGATAATACCTCAAGTAATTTCACAATAAATTTTGTGTACTCCGTAGTTAGGATTTTTTCAAAAATGTTTAATTTCTTCCAATATTGTATTGTTTTTGGCTTTATAGACGCAATTAGTGTAACAACTTACATTTGTTTCAGGTTTCAAAAAAACTTACATTTGTTTCATTTTGTTATATATCATACATGTTTCCATTGTTGTTTGAAAAGATATTATCTATATAAATATTTCAATATCTGTCTTGCATTATAACCATAACACAAAAAATATTTGTACTAGTGCATCACACGAGTACTATACTAGTATAACTATATAATGAAATTCTTTCAGAAACAATTATATAATGAAAGCGGCAATTTTGTATTTTAATAAAAAACTACATAAGAAATTTCTTTTTTATTGAGAACTCCAACTTTACCATGTTTTAGTATAATCATTTTTATTTTGAAACACATTCACCTTTTAGCACCAAGCACTTCCTTAAAAAAAAATATCAATTATTTCGAAACTTAAGCAATGACAAACACTCCATCGACCATCAGCTAGTGAGGAATATATAGAAAATTTTGATTAACGGGTTCGAACTTCCAAAACATATCACTGAAACACCGTCATACAAAATTGTGCCACATTACATCAAACTTATTCAATGGCAATTTCATTTGAGATTGAATGACTCTTGGTTTTACTCTTAAGCAGTTCCACAACTCTTCTCATGGAGGGTCTGTCATGCGGCGACACCGATGTACAAAGAAGTGCCACATCAAAAACCTTCTTTATCTCTTCATAGTCACCCGTAGATTGATTCATCCTTGGGTCTAAAATATCATCCAGATCACCCCATTGTTGCTCCGATGAGAATAAAATGCCTTTAACCCATTGTACAATATCCTTATTTTCACCAAAATACTCATCATTCGGCCTTCTACCACATAGTAGTTCCAATAATACCACCCCAAAACTATAAACATCACTCTTTTCTGTAATCTTCAATGTGTACGCATATTCTATAAACAAAACAAAACAAATGTATACATCAGACTCAACATGCTCATAGAAGATATAAAATAAATCTTTACCAAATAAATTATTCGGTGACAACTAACATATAGGGACTTATTACATACGAAATACCTTGCATGTTTTTTGGAGTTACTTTGCATATATTTAGCAAATGTTTTATGTTCAGTTGTTCACAACAACACATTTATTTAAATTGTAGAAAAATCATGAAATTTGTTCGCATGACCACTTGCGCAGTTACATGAGTTTTCATATACAGAGTACAAGAGTTAGAAATTTCAAACGGAAATATGTTCTAATGAATGAAAAATTTTGTTAACATTGTGATGAGTATTGGAATTCTCGGGGTAGTAGATCTGGAGAAGTAAATATACTCAATCACATTGAGTTCCATGTTTCATAAAAAGAAAAGTATATGACCAGTGGCATAGCAAGGGGAGGAAATTAGGATGGATCCATTAAAAACATGCATATAAATTTTAAAAAGAAATCATACAGAACTAAAAAAATTAAGGTGTTCATCAAAATTGGGGTGGACCAAGGCACGAGTTGCCCCCCTGGCTCCGCCTGTGCACATTACCGTTAATGGCTTGATAATATTATAGATTTATAATTTAAACAAGATAAATGAATTAAGATATATCACAAAAATCTAGCCCCTATTGCCACCTCCAATGGCGTCACCGCTAACTACAACAAGGCCTCAAAATTTAGGAGCCCCAAAAATTTTGTGGTCTCCACGTTAAAGCTCACACCTTTAACTCTTTAAGGTTGTTATTATTAATTGTGTACATTTTGATTTCGCTTGCGGCTGATTCACTGAATCGTGTAATAGTAAGAAAAAGTAAGGTTAAAGTTACTTTATTTGGATGTATTGGTTGAAGTTATGGTAGAAGATCATTTTAGCTACTTTTTCACATAACTTTTTCCTTATTTTATTAATAAAATATATTTAAAATTAATTTTTTTTCATAAATAAGCATAATTGGCCAATCAAACCACTTCATCCAAAACTTTAGAAATTTCAGCAGAAAGCCAATACAACTGATTTGGGTATTACCAAACGGGCCTTGAGTTACAGCATTGACCACATTCCTAAATCAATATTTTATTTTATTTGAAGCTCTATCACTTAGAATTATATCAGCACATTTGGGTTAAATATAAGACGATCATATTAGAGCAACATTAATGCAAAAGCTTGAACACACATGGCATGAGAGGAATATACACATAAAAACTAATTGTAGAATATCTCTCTTCTAATTGTACGGTCATATATTTTTTGGTAAGTTTTGGGCACAATGTCAAACACAATGTCCAGATGTAGACATTATAATTGACAATATTGACAAAAACTTACAAAAAAAACTCATAAAACCGTTGAAAGATGGAGAAAGAAATGTCATCAATGCATTTTTTTGTATCTATGTCTTTCATGTCATGCACATGCATATTGCATTATATAATGATTGGTGACATATTGAGAAGTTTATGGGGACGTGACGCCCTGGAGAAGAATTAAACCGTAATGGTTTGAACTCATATAATTTACTTCACCTTTGATTTACCTCAAGTCAATTAGAAGTTTAGAACCATAGTACAGCATTACGGTCTACGTACCTTGTTTGTGTAAACTATAAGCCGGCATGTAAAGTTAAAAATAATGCGGAGTACATGTATTTAATATTACTACAACACATTTTTTTGAGGCCCTCATGGAATATGAGGCCCAGGCAGTGCCTGGGGTAACTCCCCTCATGGCCGGCTCTGACTAACACACCATTTTTTTACTCTCAAATAAGACAAGTTTATATCTTACAATTACAATTACTCCCCCGCCCCCCTCTCTTCTCGTGCATAAATTTCTTAACACTTTCATTACTAACATTTTTTGACACCACTTCCAAGTTCCAACTTCCAAATACAGCTAAAGTCTGCCACTATCTTTTTAGACGGCACTATGTTTTTCCAAAGTTGTAAAGGAGAATTTGGTGTTATGAAAAAATCATGTCATTGTTTGAAAAAAAATCACAAGACAAATTATGAGTACAATGCTCTTTATGAATTGACAATCCATTTTACCTGGCGCGATGTAGCCACATGAACCAGCAATATTGGACATAAGTTGTTCACTATCCGGAATATCTGGGGTAAAAATCTTTGCCAGACCAAAATCTGCCACTTTAGGCAAAAACTCTGAATCTAGCAAAATGTTGTTTGATTTAACATCCCTATGAATGATAGGAGGTATGCAATCATGGTGTAAATATGCTAGTCCTTGAGCGGCCCCCACTGCAATATCGAACCTTCTTCCCCAATCTAACAGTAACCCACCATTCTCTCCATACAGTACATCTCCCAAGCTTCCATTCTCAATATATTCATACACCAATATTCTGTAATCTTCACCTACACAACAATGCAGAAGCTTCACTATATTCCGGTGACGGACTCTGCCTAAAGCCTCCACCTCTGCCTTGAATACGTCTCCTGAATCACTTCTCCGGCTATCCTCCCAGAGCTTTTTAACCGCAACAAGCTGCCCTTGTTTCAGATGGACCCTGAATACCCGGCCCGACCCGCCTGTTGCGATAATTTTCTCATCGGATAGAGAATCCAACAGTTCGGTTTCCTGAAACCTGGCCTGTGGGAATGCCGTATTGCTCCATGAAAATATGGGTCTTCTTCTTTTCGCGGTGGACTGCCTTGTCCTGATGCAGATGCAGAGAAGTGATACCAGTAGGAGAAATGCGCAGGATGTTATAATGCCCAGAAGGTAAAGGGTTGCCCGGCTGAACTTCGGGCATGAAGGAAGGCCTTCAAAATCCGAAGAACACAGACCTGGGTTTCCCATTAAGCTTGAGTAGAATAATTTGTTTCTGAATCCGGTTGGAACTCTCCCGTGAAGCCTGTTATACGATAAATTGAAGTAGTTGAGCTTGAGATTTATTAACGATGTCGGAATTTCCCCTGTGAGCATATTCCTGGCGAGGTCTAAACTGTTCAACACTTGTAATCTCCCGAGTGAACTCGGAATTTCGCCTGAAAATCGATTGAAGGATAAGTTTAGCTCGGCCAATTCATTCCATGATTCCACGTGGGATGGTATTTCACCTTCGATCATGTTCTCTTGCAGTTCAAGCTTCTGTAGATTCTTCAAATTCGTCATACATGAAGGTAAGGCACCGGAAAACCGGTTCCTGCTCAAATCGAGATCGATCAGCTTCTGCAATTTGCATATTTCTAGCGGGAGGTTTCCGGAAAATCTGTTTCCGGCGACCCTGATTTGAGAAATGTTTCGAGCACTGGAGATTGAGGGAGGAATTGGACCTTCAAGTTTGTTGTTCTTCAATTCAAGGAGTTTGTTCATAGGTAGGTTCCAGAAACCGGAAGGGAGTCTTCCGGATAATTGATTGTTGTGGATACGAACGCGCTTCAGAGATTTGCAATTACCGTACGACGCCGGAACTGTACCGGAGAACCTGTTATTGAATAGAATCAAAATCTCGAGCTTCTCTTTGAAGCAAATATTTGGAGGCAACGGACCTTCTAGATTGTTTCCTGAAACATCGATTTCGCTTAACTTTGAATTTAGACCTAAGTTTAACGGAAGTTTTCCGGAAATCCTGTTAGTGAAAAGCTTCAAGTCAGTTAGATTCTGATTGCTAGATAGTGTTTCCGGAATTTCTCCTTCCAAATGGTTATCGTAGAGATGCAGCGATTGAACTTGTAAACTGGCGAGGCTCTCTGGAATTCTACCAGTGAGGCTATTGATAGAAACATCAATCTGTTTCAGAGAACTCAGATTCGAGAATGTGTCTGGTAATTCGCCGGACAATTGATTATCATAAAGCTCTATCTGCACGATACTCTTCAGCCCACCGATACGATCAGGAATTTTTCCGGTGAGACTGTTTTCAGATAAATCGAAGATTTGAAGAGAGACTAAGTTTCCAATGGAATCAGGAATGGTTCCACAGAGATTCACCCCGCGTGCAAAGAGATTTTCAAGCTTCGTGAGTCGTCCAATCGAGGAATGCAGTCGACTGGACATGAAAGGATTCACGGCGACTTCTAAATCGGTCAACTCAGTGAGATTCGAGATGAACTCCGGGAGTGAGCCGTTCAGGAGGTTACTAGTAAGATCAAGCACTTGAAGTTTCGGCAAACGACCGAAGCTCGCCGGGATTTCGCCGGAGAAATTGTTTAAGCCGAGAACTAGAGAGGTGAGATTGCTGAACTCGGTAAGAAGCTCCGGCAGCTCTCCGACAAACAAGTTGTTGGACAAGTCCAGCTTCTCCAGATGTGAACACAGAGAGATGGAATAAGCAGATATAGATTCCCCGAAGAAGTTATCGAATAGATTGAGAGTTCGAAGCGTAGAAATCCGGCAAAATCCCGCCGGAAAGCGGCCCCATAGCCCGAAACTCCGAAAATCGATAGAGACAACAGCATGAGTAAGATGATCACAGGTAATGCCAGTCCAATTACACGGTGCATTGGATGAATTTACCCAATCGCCGAGTTGATCGTTGGGATCCCGGAGTTGTTTGTTCTTGACTCGAAGCAAAATGGCGCTATCATGGTTCAAGGAGCTTACCCATGGAGCCAAGATCATGAAAAGCAGTACACCTCCATAGATGAAAAGCTTCTGCTTCAGAAAACTCATGATAATACAGTATGCTTCTGAAACTCGGTTTAAAAACGTGAAGTCTTTGCTAGTCAAAGTCAAGCAAGAGTGTTACGTTAAAAGTAATTGCCCTAAGACTAAAAGAATGATAAAATTCCAAAATAGGAGTTCTGGTTGGTTTATTCCCTAAATAGGACGAATTGGTTGACTGGTCCGTTTAATTTGTCGATTATACCCCTCATTGTAAATCACTCCCTAATTAATTAATTTTCTTCCTACTGTCAGATCTTTCTCTATTTCTCAAGCAACAACGCTCTCTGCTCCCTCTCTCTCTCTCTCTCTTGACGCAACAGCCAGCAATCCACCTAGCCTCTGCCTTCTCTCGATTTCATCTCCCTCTTCTCACATCTGCTTTCATCCACTTTTAATTTTTAGATCAGACTTCTTCTCCAACTTCTCCACTTCCGGGCACCGACGAGCGGCGGCAAACATCGCAGTGGTAAGTTTTTATTTTTCTCCTCCTCTTCATTCTTCTTCCTCCTCTCCTTCTTCTTCCCCTTCTTCTCTCTCTGTTTTTTAATTAGATCGGCAGTGCGACAAACTCTGTTGCTTTCATCTTGGATGATGAAGTTAATTACGTACTGTGAGGCTACTTTAATTTGATTTCTCTTTTTATTTGATTTTGCTTTAATTTTTTCTTTCTTTCTAGATCTATTTCATTCCAGATGTATTTTATCGGATCTATTTTATTATCAAATTGGTTTTCTTTTTTTCTTTTTTATTGCTTTTCCCGATTTCTCTTTCAATTTTGTTTTAGCTTTCGTTCTTTTCATATTTAATTTATATTATACAAATTACAATACACAATATAATTTTTGGGATTTGACCTCCATCAATAATTATTTTCTAACATATTTTTGTATTTTTTCAGATTAAGATAAAAAAATATTATTCCTTTGCAAATTACTAATAATGCCATGTTTTTCCTAGTGGAATTATTATTTGCCACATAGTGCCATTTTTATTTGACATTAATTCCATCAAGATGACTAATAATGCCAAGTGAAGTTATTAAATGACACTAATTTCGTATATTAAAAAATTGACATTAATTCCATCAAAATGGATAATAATGCCATTTTCTGCATATACAAAAAATTATTTTCACACATAATGCCATTTGCATGGCAATAAATCTGTTATGATGACAATACTATCCCCTACAAATATAACATTTATAATACTATGAACATCTGAAAATGATAAAATTCATGTCCTTTATTTTAATATACTCCGTATAAAAGAGACCATTAAAATGACATTTTAAAACATTCATTACAAATTTCAGATCGATGGAGGAGGAGCCAAGATCGTGGTAGGGCTGGAAGAGCAAGGGTGACTCCGGACTAGGTGGCGGTGGAAAAGACAGCAACTGCGGCGTCAATAATGGAGATGGCGGCATCGGCGGTGGCTGACAGCGGCGGCATCATGCAGCGGCGACACCGGCGTCGACGGCGGTGTAGATGGCGGAATCACAGTCTGGCGGTTGTGGCGGCACGAACTGGTGGTTGCGGAGGCATGGACTGACGGTTGTGGCGGCATGAACTGGTGGCTGCGGCGGCGACCGGTGAATGTGGCGGTGGGTGACGTTGTGTATTACTTGTGGCGTTGGTCGTGTGGGAGCAGAGGAGTGTGTTGGAGCAGGGCAGTTGTGTACAACTTGCATTATATTAGTATTTTATTGTATTTTATAAATCAACAATTAGGTTTTCATTAAGGGTAGATGTGTCAAGTCATGTACTTTTACTCCTATGTAATTATACGAAACTTTAGAGTCCTAGTTTTGCACTTTTGTTATTGTTTACTCCTAGATAGGGAATTTACTCTTACGTTAATGCACAGTGAATATATAGCTAGACAAGTGAATGCATTAAAGCATGATGCTAAAAACATAATCCGTAAAAAGCATCACATTATAATTAGGTGACAGTTTCGGTATCTATTTTTTAAAAAATGGAGTAACGTACCTACTATCAAGGGCGGTGCTAAGGGGGTTAGAGTGGTCAGCCGACCCCGTTGAAAGTTTAAAAACGTAGATCTCTGAAATACCTTCGATTTGATATATTATGGGTCCCGTAACTCATTACGGGTAAAAGGTTATGATTTCTGGAAAAATCAGCATCATATTAACTTGAAATATGCAAAATTTAATGTGTGGCGTTGATTATATTGTTAAATTTAAAAATAAAACACCTTATTCAGCCATTAGTTGTGTAAGCATTATGATATTGTTATATATATATATATATATATATATATCAATACATTAACAAAAAAATGCTCATTAAACTACTATTCATCTCAACTACCTAACATATGAAACATTTAACTCAAGTATTGTATAATTACTATTCATCACTTTATACTATATTACGTAGTATTAAATTTCGACCCCCTCACACATGCATTTGGTCCATGTGGACAAATATATGATACCTTAAGCGCACCATAGAAACTACCTTATAATTATTACTACTTCCCGGTAAGATATGACGTGGCCAAGTTTGATCACCAAGGTTATTACTAATTACTACATCCAAAAAGTAGACTAGAAAATTGATATTAAAACATGTCATTATAATATGTTTGTAATTTTGTACGACATATTTAAGCTTACAAAAAAGCAAACACCGTGGAAAGTATTTTGAAAACTATGGTGAAGAATCATTCTCCCTGTTCCCCAAAAAAAAAAAAAATCATTCTCCCTGAACCAGACGCTATATATGCGTATATTGGTATGTGTATATATAATAGTCGTATTAGTGTTTGGTCTGTATTTGCCCAACGATAAAGTAATTTTTTTTGTAAATAATTATTATATACTCCGTATGATATTGTTGTTATCAGATTTTTAAATTGTGTGCAAAACTATTAATGTTAAATCTGGATCAATGATCTCTTCTTACGGAGTGCGCCGAACGAGCCCCTAGGGCAGAGCGCGGCTAGGTAATTCTGATTTTGATCTTTTTTTATCGAAGTTCGGTTAGTGTTTCCCTAGCGAGATCTCTCACGTAGGGTTTTTCTTCGCTGCCCTGGTGCGCCGTTTTCTTTCAATCGACGCAGCTTTGCGTCGGATTGTCGTGATTTAGACGTAACTCGGGATGGATGATCGTGGCAGCAAGAAGATGGTGGAAGAAGCGAGAGAGAGACGTAGGGATGATCAGGACAAGGTTAGTGTGGAGAGGTTGAACCCTCCATTCGATGGCATGAATTTGGGTCTTATGGCGGGTACGGCACTGAAAGAGGGTATCAATTGAGCGACGGTCCGACCTCCGCCTAAACCACCACCATGAGTTGTACAAGGTGCTAGAGTCCGTGAAAGTTTTCCTAGTAATTTTTATCTGTTTGTCATTTATTTTCTTGTGTTCATCTTTGTTGTTGGTTTTGACAATTTGTTTGAGTTTTATTTAGCTTCTTTTTATGTCATTGGGTATGGTTGGATTTATGGGAACAGGTTTGGCGGTGTCAAACCCACTACATGGTTAGCGATTCGTGTTGGTCTTTCAGGGGTAACTGTCTCAAAGTATCACCATAGAGTTACAGTTGTAGTTGTTGGAGTTTTAGTTGGTGTCAGTTTTTTTTCCTTTACTTGATGTAATGATCCTGAATCTTTTGATATGAACAGAGGCTTGTTTTGATGATTAAAAAACTTGTGTGTAAAACTTTCTTTTTTCTTAAATTTTCGGATTAGTCATATTTTTATCAAATCAAATATTGTTTGGATATGTGCCTATACTTCATAAAACTTTGTAATTTTATGAATTGCATTTATTTTTCGTTTTATACATGAAACAAGACAATAGGAG